GCACGGGGGGAAACGGATTGTTAGTAATAAGGTCTAACAGTCCTATTACTAGTAGTAACTAGATACAGTGATTAGACGTCAAGTCAGGTCAGATCAGGTTTTAAGGGGGATCACGCATGGTCCACTTTGGAAACCATCATGGTTAATTCCTGGTGAATATGACTTATTCACCAGTAAAAAATGATGGGCCTAACTTTATTCTTATCTATCATCATTCACTGATATCCTGCATACCAATAATGTAGGATTGAGAATTCAGTTCCATTTTCATCCTAATCATCATCATCATCTGTCGAAAACTGAACATAGTTCGCCCCCATTGACTGCCACAAGGAATAGTCTTGAGCCACCTGCATCTGTATTTCATCCTAATAAAAGGTATAAAATAAAATATATCTTTATAAACAAATATATTATTGGGCACGGCTCTCTTCAATAGAGCAGGATATTAGTCTATTATTGGCGATGCTGGCTACGTGGCTGGTTATAAAGTTATACTTCGAGTTTTTCTTGTTTTTCACTGGTTTTCTTTACTTTAGTTTTTTTTTATCCTTAACTCTTTCATCTGACATTCTGCGGATGGAAAGGTGTGGTGATATTGTATTCTCATTCCATCATTAGATTGATGTAAAGGTACTTTTTAATTGTACACAAATTATAAAAATGTAAAATTAACATAGATTTTGAATTACATATGTGGCAATATTAAAAGCATTGTAGACAATAATCGTCAGTTGTGTAATTAGAAATGAACTCGGTTCAGATAGCTAAGTGATGTCAGTTTGAATTCCACCGTTTTGAGCTGTGAAGAGAATTTTTTTACAATTTTGGTAACTACAACATCACGAGTCTAGATAAGATATACTCGTATATTTGTTGACACCCAGTCTCTATTACAGTACCTAATACGAACTAGTATCTAACGCTTTAATATGTAAATTGTATGCCATATTTATCAGAAAACAAAATATTCATTATTTCACGTCCACTATTTAATATTCAGTATGATTTTCACCGAATATTGATGCCTACAATAATAAAATAGATTAAAAAACATACAAAAAATTATATTATAATAGTCAACACGTTAACACTTAGTAATGTCATTTGAACACGTTATTTTTCATTCCAGTAAGAATTTTTGGAAATCCTGTATTTTTTGTTTTAGGAATATTATAATTTTATTTAAATTACTAATATTAATAATATTATTTTATTACTAAAATTATTTTATCAATATTATTTTAAATTGTAATGTCAGTTAAATGAATTAGATTCTTATAAAATTGGCCACAGGATAAGGGTGTTCACCTCCGACAAAGTTTTCATTAGGGGCGGCGTAAGTTTGCGGCGAGTGTGCGAGCGGGAACGTTTGGCACGACGCTGATAACACAACAAACAACTTGTTACAAACGTGTTTAGTTTTAGTTATTGCTGCGAGTTCGACGTTTAACTCATTGGTCTAATAATGAAGTGGGTAGAGGCGGGAGCTGTAATTAAGCTTGGTTTTGTGTTACCCACCAGCTTTGCCTGATGTACGCATATACAATTTCAGTTGCCTAAGTATTTTTAAGTTTTGACTCACATTTTATCCCTTAGCGAGTACCGTGAATCAATTTTTCACAAGACATCGTCAAAGTGATGTGAGATTAAATTATGTTCGGGCGCACGGACGCTGTGATCGGTTACTGTAACGTGTTTTTTATGTTGTTTCTACATTCGTTTGGTGGATGTCAAACAGATCTATAAACCGAATACAAATTGGATTTTTTTGGATTGGAATTTATATCCGACAAATCGTATGTGTGTTGTGATTTATACAAATGAATATTGGAGATGTTTTAATTTTTTTTACTTGCCGGCGAGCAAACGTTATACATTTGAGGTTTAATAGTAAATTGTTAGGAAATTATTACAGATTATTCATGTATTGAGGTACACATATTTTGTCGAATGTTACCACTGTAATAAATTTAACAAGTAGCCTACATTTCATCCACCATATGTTAATATAAACAAGGTGAAACCAAGGCTAATCAGTTAATTTTTAGCTAGATTTGTTATAAAAATATTTTATTCACGTAGTTACTTTTGGTTTGATTCTTGGTCGAGTCTTTTTCTGTTGTCTGAATTTTCGTTGCCTGGTTTGTCATAACACAGTGTATCGTAACGTAAAGACCAGGTGGTTAGTGCGATTGTGTGACACTTACAGCTTAAGGATCACGTAATTGGTGCTAAATAGATATTTTAAAATCACGATATTTAATTCCTATTCCTAAATTGTGTTAAATGTGTTGTGCGTGTGTCGCCGTGTGGTCCTGGCATTGAATAAGCCACTCCTTCCTTTCCCGTGAGTGTCGTAAGAGGTGATTAAGGGAGGGCGAGGGATGGGCAGCAGAATTCCTCTTAAAACATCTTTAACTTGTAGTTGCCAACTCGCCTGCCAAGGATGGTATCTTCTGGCAAAACCCACCAAGGGGGAGGTTTATATTCTGCAATGGACAGTTAAAGATGCTGATGATGAAATGTCTTGAAACGGAGAAAAAGTAAATACGGCCCGGCATTGACCTTGTGGATAAATATAGCGAGACTGGTAATATATTATAATCCTTACAAATATAATAAACGTGAAAGTGAGTTTGTTAATTCGTAATAGCTCTAGGCGCTTTAGCAGTTCGATTAGTAGTCATGAAAGGTATACATGTATTATTTGAGATGAATTATAATAGATTTCTGGTCAATCAGTATATTCCATCAATGAAGTTGTAAGTAAAAGGTAATTATAATATATAGTATGACTAAAGATAGTTATTGTTCAATAAGAATGAGAAAACTCACATTTTTTTTAGGATATTTAAAATAGAAAACAAGTTGACGATCCACTTGATGAAAAATGGTATTAGGCACCTATAGACATAAACAATACCATGGTTATTACATATACTCTAATATACTTATGGTATTCCCCATGCATTGCCATCCCTGGGAACTACGATATTATATTTCCATACCTTGTAATTTTATTGTTCTTAAAACAGAAACTCTGACCTGAAGAACAAAGTTGCTTCAGATAAGAAACACGAGTGGGACAAGAGTACTCAAGACTTGCACAAGGTCTCCCTCTGATAGTTGCTAAAACTACTATCCTTGCATATAATCACCAAATTTTTTGGTCTTATGTGATATCATTTGAGGTCAGTAAAATATTTTACTCGTCTATTCACATTTATTCTCAGTCATTCGAATATTCATTTTTTTGACGCAGTCCATCTCTTTTTAATTCTTTCACCCTTACATTAAAATAGATCTGAACTTTCCCTAAAAAAATCTCTTCATCTTTGTACTCGTACAACACATACACAAAACACAATGTAAGGAACAACAGAGTTCTTTAGACTATGCCCATACCGTGTCCAAGCCTTTTTTATTATTATATAATATCTACTTATAATATGCATGTCTGTGTACGACATAAAAGGTGAAAAGTGGTGCAATGGACGTGTGCCTATTTATACTTTGTCTTTTGTAGTGTGTCCGTTACACGATGTTAGGCAAAGGGGCAGGAAGAGGAAGCGGTTTATCTGTGCTCCGGAACTCAGGAAGACGTACGCTCGCTCCGGCACTGAGCCGCGCTGAATTCCTTTAGGCTTTATACAAAATTACAATTATAATATCGTGTATATTAGAATTGTAAGTTAAAAGGAAATCTTCAATTTTTTCAGGAGCAATGTAATTACGCAGGTACGTAGGCAGATAATTCAACTTCATCTTAGTATTAAAATAATCATCAAAAGATTTATTTCTATTTTAGATTACGAATAGAGTATAGGTATATTATTAGATTTTTAGTGGGAGATTCTAACATTAGCAAAATTTTTTCTATTTCTTTGTTAAAGTTGTGTTTTAATGATATTAACTAATTTTTACCTACTTTTACAAAGATTTAATTTTATGAATAAAATACTTCTGAAAAAAAAAATGTTTCTAATTAATTTAAATGTATTATACTGTCTTTCTGTTATCAATAGATGAATGTTAGGTCTAATTATATGTGAAATACCCTCAATATTATATCAATGTTTTTATATTAGGTATCCTTCTAGAATGTCCTTGTGTAACATTGTCTCTTAGGCACATTTATTGATTCTAGTGCTGCGTTTGTATTTTCCTATCCACTTTGTACAAAGCGCGGGCATTATACGCTGTTAGACCTTTAGGGACAGATTTTAAACGAAATGTTAGTATTCTTCTATTTGCACTAGCCAAGTTTCAAGAACTTTCCAGGGCGTCATAAATAGAAGATAGAGGTGAATTAAAGTTGAGTATTATTTTTAAGGTGGAATTTACAAAAATAATATATTATTCTTCTTGATTTTGTATAAAGTATATAACTTATACCTAAATAGATTATTTATTGTTTTAAATAAGTGGATTTAGTTTTAATAATAGAACACATACAGGCGCGCCTATGTCGGTGATTTTGTTTTTTTTTTTTGTGGATATCAGAGGGAGATATTGTACAAGTTCTTTGCTTGGACACCTTTGCCCCATTCGTGTTTCTAGCGTGAAGCAGTTGTGTTTGCACGGCTATGTTTCGGTTTGAAGGGTGAGATATGGCAATCAATTTACAGGATACAGAGGAATAACATCTGAGTCTTCGGGAATGGCAACACAAGGGGGGTATCATGGGCGGAACAGAATACTCTGTTATGTCTATAGACGACGGTTACCACTGTCCATCAGGTGGGCCGTCAGCTTGTTTGCCATTTTAAGTTGCATACAAAATAAAAATCCTCATTTCAGATTCTGTCACGCAAAGAAACTCCGAGCATAGCTCTCTCCATAGCTCACTGAGTAATTTGACGCTTTTGCATACGGTCAATTGTGTAGGATTATGTTTCGGTTCTATAAGTCATCACTGGCAACACGCAATAGTTCAAGACCTTCGTCTTCAAATTTTGAGATATTCTTTATGAGAAAATATGGCGTAGTTACCTGAACGCTGCCCAGCGGAGTTAGATTCGTTGGTTGACCTTTCAGTTCGGTTTTTATTTGTCTCTAAATGCAAAGACTAAATGTAGATTTAGCTATTATAGGACCTCGAGGAGTAACGGTGCATTATATCCATAAGTGTGCCTCTTTAGAAGATGAAGATAGGGAATCGGGAAGGGTTGAATCTGGGTTCAGGGCCAATCATGGTCAATTGTGAAAGCAAATCCTCTGGTTGGCAGTAATCACCACTGTACTCACTTATTTGACCCAGGACGAGTAATACTCCATAATTGATTTCTCTATGAAAAAAAAAATGTATAGTCATTAGTTTGTATAATATGAACCCATTAGCAATAAAAAACAAATGGTAATATTTATAATTTGATTACTCGACTTAAGACTGAAGTTATGATCATTTTCAATATCTTCACATATCATCAAATATGGGCAATGTTTCTTTATCACTTGTTTCATGATCTAAAACTACCGACTTTTAAAGAATAGAAAACTCCAACAAGGTGAGCGTAAATGTCCGCTGTACAAGAAATACGAGAAAAGCTAATGACGCTATTTCCTGTGGCCACAGCCGCAGTGCAGCTACTCGAAATATAATTTTCAAGGTGCTGGCCGATAGGTAACATATAAATTTAAACATTATACTAGCTAATAGGCCACTGTTGTTTTTTTGATTTAATATCCACATGCTGAATCAGTTAATTTGATGTCTTGAGTTCTGGTTTTAAAAAGGCTCTAAAGTCGTATCGTGCGTTTGTCTGTTTGTTTATTAACTTATAGAGCCTTAACGGTTTATCCAAGACACTTTTTATTCCGGTCATTAAACATATCTCGGTTACGCGAACGAAGTCGCGGGTGGTAGTATTGCAATAAATTTATTTTTATGTGAGAAGATTTTTTAATATTATGTTTCTTGATAAATTTGTATGGATAAAAAACACAATAATGACACTAAAAAAGAAAAATAAAATTTCAATTCCGTCATAAAATACCTAAGAACCTAATAAGGGAGGGGGGAACTGTTAGTAACGGGGACTAGATGTCCCTGTGCAAACAATATACTCTGTTAGATCAAGCTCCATGTGGCCCGCCCTAGTTTGTTCCTAGTGAAATTATCACCTATAATCCCTTACTGATACTTCGGTAGCGTAGGTACATCAATAGCTTATGCAAAGTTAGCTAATAGAATATTAGCTTTCTCCAAGAAAAAGAATACTTTGTATCTTTTTTCAATAGAAATTAATTGAATTGAAAAATATAGAAAAATGTTCAAGTAATTCTTCATATTTTTTTTTCTACATATGTATAATTCTGTATTTAACTAAGTACGTATATATGAGCAAACATTACTGAAGGGTTTGTTCGCACTTTAATAGGTACATAGTATTCTTGAGACGGGCGTAAGTGGTGTTTTGCAGCAAACAAATACTCCGTGAAATTAACTGCGCCGTGCCCGGACCATTTCGGACGCCTCGCTTTTATTTGTTACTGATTTAGTGGCACTAGCAGCCTCATTTGAAAAGCGGAGTGTAGAAAGGCCAAAAGAATAGAAGCCTCACGTTTCAGCAATACAACGCGCTATTCCTGGAATATAAAAAAGGGTGATTCTTACCTATAATGCATTTATTAATATAACATTAATTAATACATAAATTAATATTATTAAGAATTATATCCACTAAACTACAGTATCCAAGTTGATTCAGATGGCTCACGATCGTTCCTTGTGGCAGTCTATGGGGTGGGGGGGGGGTTATGATCAGCAGATAATGGCTGATGTGATGATGATAACGATTATGATACTAACAATGCCTTCGAACTTCAGAACCCGACAAGGCAACAAGATAAGAAACTCACTTCCATATATATATATATATATATATATATATATATATATATATATATATATATATATATAATCCTTTAATACTTAATTAAAGGATTTCATAAAATGTTTACAGTTCTGTATTTTGTAAAATCAAATATTAAGAATTGTATGGTTAATTTGAATGTACTGTCTGTGAAATTAATGAACAGGATGTGACTGTAAAGTGATTCATCATGTCACTGCGTAGTGAATTAACAATATTAATATTATAGGATTAGTAACTCTCCATACTCACATAATATGTAGACATTGAGAAATTAATTTATCCAGTTTTATATTTTCATTACACTACTGTAATTTAAAAAAGAAATCTATACCTGTTTAATTATTAGAATTTTGATAAATGCAAGGAATATTGCATTGTGTATTAGTAATTTTTTTTTTAAAAAGTTTTACTCATTCTTATAGAAATAATTCTTTTATTTCTACGACCTTCTTTTGTTCAGTCGAGTAACTTGGTTGTTGTAAATATTCTACTCCAAATTTATTCTTATACTTTAAAGACATCTATTATTATTAGTTTATTTGGGTTTGTGAGCAATATCGTTATCTACATGGGTATGCTAAATATTACTTAAACCTAAGCAGTAACCGTTTATCCTCATTGTTTTAGGTTTAGGTCGTTTATTTAAAAGAATATTATAATTTTATAGTCTTTCCAGATGCACTACATTTTTCGATAATAATTTTAAGCTGCTGGTAAAGTCATGGTATGGGAGTAATGGACGATGCAATAAATTAAACCTCTCAGGGACTGACCTGTCTGCAGGTTTAATTAACTTTTCAACCGGGAATTTTCAAATAAAAAGCAAAAATCACCAAAGTTTAGGAAGCACGTACAAAGTTACGGTTCTGTTAGAATCTTAACCTAGCTCTATACAGACAGACAAGTCTAGATCAATATATATTATTAAAACTGGCAAATATGTAGTGAAGGAATTGAAGGATTATGCGGGAGTGAAAAATGTAACAGCACAGAAACAATGAAACAATAATAATGTAAGTGAAGGCCGTAGTCAAGCTTTTGTTTATATCAATTTTGTTGATGTTCTACGCTGTAAGAAATTTTATTTTATCCTTTAGTATATACAGACTAGTTTTGAATGAAATATTTATTGGTAGATATAGATAGAACATAGAATTGATCTATAATATTACAGTTCCGAGATAAGAGAGAATTTTTAAATTTGCGACGTAAGTACGTAAGTAATTCAAAATTCTTTCAAATGCACAAATTTGAAAGCTCTAAATGGTATCAACTTTAATAAATACTTTCGGCGACAGATATTTATTCATTTACAATCTATTCAAAGCCCACTGTTAAATATGCCGGATGTTCGTAACTATTTATTTAGAAGACGGAAAATGGCTCCGCTTGAAATTTCTTTCATATTTGGCATCAATTATCAGAACCTGTCTGCTGGGGGAAAGGGATTGTTAGTAATGTGGACTATCAGTGCCATTGCTAGCTATATACCCTATCAGGTCAACCTCCACGTGGTATCTACCCTGGAAACTATCCTGCTGAATTCCAGGTGTATTCATTACGATGGGCTAACTGACCTGCCCTTTTATCCTCACTTATCACCCCTCACCGGTGACCCGCCAGCGTATACCGTTAGTGCAGACGGGGTTGCCATTCCATTATCATCCATTAAACAACCTGTCTGCTGAATATGATATGTGAAGACCTTGATATATTTAATTGTATAATGGAGAAATTAATACAATAGTCATTATTATATAATTTAAATGCTACGAATGCTATCTTTACTAAATTTTAAATTTATTGGTATGTGTATATAAATATATATTTGTCTTAATAAAGATTTAAAAGATATAGCGCAAATATATCACGATGTTAGACCTCGCTGTAAATTTCTAGAATGCCTGTAGAATATAAAAGCTTTCGCAAAAAATGATAAGTTTTTCCCACTTTTACTGGCTAGCTGTAATATGGTTGTGAAACACGAAAGAGCATGAAATTCATATACGTTGTTATATATTTTAAACGTCTGCAATACTAGTAGTGATAGTACATTATTTGTGTAAAAATATCAAGCTATTCGTATGCTCATTTCTAAAAAATTGATATTTGATTAATAATATTGATATACACGCAATGAGATTATGAATAGTACTTGTAAAACCACTCTAAAAATTCTTAGAAATGTCACCATGTAATTTCGTTATAAATATTTAATATTTACATTCTTATAAAAATTGGTATAAATTAAAACTATTCTAAATATAAATTAAAAATATAAATAGTTATCAAGGGATAAGACATGAAATCAAACGCACAGTGAAAATGTAAATATGAAACTCTGCATGACTGATTGATCGATCGGAATAAAAAATGGATAAACAAAACAATAATAATAAAAAAAAAAACAAAATAATTAAATACTGTACGTACGAAAACCAAATTCCATGACCATTTATTAAGTAGTTATTGTACCAAGAGGTTATAAACAAACTTTCATATTTAAAATATTAGTAATGATTTCGGCACATTTAACTATCAACATTACTGGACGGTCAAAAACTAGGCGCTGAATTTCGTTTAAATGCGTTCCATTTTCAATATCATTTTTTAATCTCTGTTTATATACTACGGATTTCATATAGGTGTATCAATGTACGTAATACGCAAAATTTTGCCCAAATTATTTCTATAAGCACTCGAGGAATGGATGAGTATAATAAAAATGTTTGTAATATTGCACCTGCCTCGGGTCTGACATGGGTCGACTTGCATGTATCACCTTGACGGCGAGTAAATTCTAACGCTTGAATAAATAATCACATCATTTTTGTCATACGAATTTGTTATATCTCAGATAGGCATATAAATATTCCTAATTTTTTCATGACCTTCTCCTTCTCGTCATTTATTTGTCCAGCCTGAAATGTAAAACCTTTATGTCTATTATATAGATTTTATATACATATTTGTGTTAGTTTGTAGTTTTTAAATTTTTATTTTTCATTTTGATTTAAATCCATTTATAAGTATAAATTAATAATATCATAAAATAATTTTTATATGTTTAAATACTTGTAGTATGTTAAATTTTACTAAAGTTTATAAGTATTCAATGATGTTATACTAATACTTAAATAAAAGGTTTTTTATACAACTTAGAATAGCAAACAAGCTGACGGCCCACTTAAAGGAAAGTAGTAACCGTCGCCTATAAACATGAGCAGTACATAACAGAGTATACTGTTTCGCCCATGATATCCCCCACGCGTTGCCACACCTGAAGACTTAAGTGTTATTTCTCTGTACCCTGTAAATTCACTGCCATATCTCACCCTTCAAACCGAAACACAGCCATACAAATACAACTGCTTCGCGGTAGAAACACGAATGGGACAGAGGTAGCCAAGCAAACGACTTATGTACAAAGTCTCCCTCTAGTATTAAGGTCTGGTGGAAAGGGAAATCTTATTAATATGATAATATTAACAAGAAATTGTTAATATTATCTATCATGGTGTATGTACTTATATTTGATCTTGCAACTTGTCATGATACATATTGTCTGTACAGATGTTGTTAAATGTTTTGTTGTAAAGTTATTTTCTGCATCTAATAAATAAATAGCTTTTTTTTTTTTAATAAAATGATAATACTGGCGGCATTATTTATTTACATAGGTATCTCGATGAATTCGTTATAAATTTACCATAGTGATTTTTAAAGGTATTTGCGTGGAGGTTGACCTAACAGAGTATGATGCTAGTCATAGAGCTATTAGTTCTTGTTGAGTACTATTATTAACGGACCTTTGCTAACAATAGGTTGTACTAAGAATTATACTTTACTACAAACCCATTATAGGTTTATATGAAAACTATGAATTTGAAATATTTTAAAACTTATTTTAATTTTTTATTCAATGTCTATGTACATTTGTAATAGGAAATTAATGAACACAAGAGAATAGCACGAAATATCTTAAAAAGGCGTAAAAAGTATTACTTGCTAACATGCAAGTTATGTCCATAGTATTGGAAGCGTATTAACGTCAATGTACAAACGCTTGAAATGCTTGCCACTTAAATGTTATAAAAAAAATTAAGTCAAGTTTTTCTTAACCACGAAAGTAGAAAACAGGTATACAACCTGCCTGATGATAAACAGTCACTGCAGTCATGGGCACCTGCAACATTAGGGATTTCACGTACGCGTAGTTGAATTATTAAAGAAATCCATATAGTCTTTAAAGAAAACTTAGGCAAAAACTCATTCCAAAGGTTAATTTTCATTCATTCATTCGAGTTGAGTTTTATTTAAGTAAGTATTTATAAAGTAAAATATTGATCGAGGAATTCAAAAGAAGATATTTGTTAGTAAACAGAGGGGCTAGTGGCAAACAGAGACGTTTTGGCTAAGACATTGTAATATATTAGGTGCTAGCACGCGAGTTGGCAATAAGTCTGCCTCGCCTAGTTCGCCGCTAGATAACAATTATAAATCTCACTAATACTTCTTACTGTCCACACCGGCTCGTGTTGTATTTGTGGTGTCCGTGCCCTTGACATAAACAATAGGGTCTGAAAGTAACTCAACAACATCAGTGTTTTCTTATTACGATATGCTTTTTAATATTAAATGCACTTTGAGGTTTGTCGATGACATGTTATAGTACCAATTTAATATTCTTGTTGTATCTTAAGAATATATATTGTTCAAATATATGAAGAAAAAATATTTACGATCTGTTACTGGTTACAAAATTCAGGTTTTGGTTATGATAGGACCAGCTGTACTATTATAGTAATCGATTACATTTAAGCTAATTTATTAATGAGAATATGATATAACCGGATATTAACATAACGTTTTAAGTGTAAATCGTCTTATAAGTCAGAGCTAAGATGTTCTCTAGAAGACATACGATTGCAAAATTTTCTATAATAATATTTTTCCTTATTGTAAAAATAGAAAAAAAAATATGTAGAATACTAGCGTTAGTACGCTCAAATACGCTCAGCGAATTCAAAGCAACGCAGATAATATGAACAACGATAACGTTTGAATCTAAAAGTGTTTTCCTTCGAGAAACGTGACCTTAAATACGGCGAATAAGGGGATAAAAAGCAGGACGTGCTTAATGTATCATACAGAATATTCGGATCCGCATTGTGGACACATCATAAAGGCATCAAGAAGCCATCAGAAGTAGTAACAGGTTGTCCCCACACACGGTGTTCTTTATGTTTTCAGACATTTTGTGTAGCGGTGTTTAACATACGAACTGCGATAAATTGACGTAAATATCTTTACGGTCCTTAGATGAAATTTAATATAAGATTATTATGACTTGCTACTTCTAATCTTAAAATTGTCCTATAAAAATTAAAAAAATAACTGAAGAATAAAAAAATCTATTCACTTCAAAATAGAAATTGAAATGTCTTCGAGCGTAGATATATGATACCTACAATATAGATTGTTTAGATATCTCGATGACTTTATTTCTACTGAAGATTAAAAAAAAATTCTTGCAAGTAATTGTATATATATTATATGATGTTAATACGAAAAAGTCTTGTTTCGTTCTCCTAAACAAAACTTATTGATCTATAAGAAAAAATGTGAAAATTATTGTTTCTAATTATTATTTGATACTAAAATCTATTGATTGTTGTTAATTGTGATACTTAATTTGATATTTGTACCTATCTAATTAATAAATTTATATGTCAATATACTTATCTATTTGCGTTTCATGCCACATCACGACGGCTAATTATGTGGAAAACTATAAAATTTACTAACTTATGCATCATATTTGTTATAAATATATATTGATAATAGCGTAATTTATCCAAAATTAAGGTAATAAAACATATATTTTTTTCAAATATTTACCTGAATAATAAATGGATATGGAAACTTGTACCTTTTGTAGATAAACGTTTACATTCCAATACATTAATTTTGTGCCAGTGAATGCAACGGAAGTGTTGCCTCACTACGTTGACTTGCCGTTCCCTTGAGGCCGTTTTCAACGTCTATTCTCAGTACCATCTTCTCCACGATGTTTATATCAGTTTAAAGTCTACTTCACCGATCGCAACATTTCCCTTATAAAGCAACATAAAAGAATTTTCATGAAATAAAATATTTGAATGTAAAGACAACAAATTATTGAAAAATTTTCCTAGTTTTAAGATACAAAACTTGTTATTAAACATATTATACTTCAGTGGTTTGTATCTTGCAACGATTTAGTTTTTTGAAATATAGCCTATCTTTTCGCATGAAATGTGTATGCATTAGTATGAGATGCAATGATCGGTAACAAAATTTAGGCAATTAACAATTTAGGCCACAATAATAATGTAATAATAAACTGATTCGAGTGAGTGAAGTTTTGGAATATTGTTACAATAATATAATATTAATAATGAATTTAAAATGTCACAACACAAAATAATCGTCTTAGATGTTTGCATATACCTAATAATACTTGTTTGAAAAGATAATACTTAAGAGTTTATATATTTATATCTAATAGAAGGCTTTTAAAAATGGCATTGTTCCAAGTAAAATAAATTTATTTTTATCTGAACTTTTTCACCTCGCAATAAATCTTTGAGGTTGTAGTTGTTTTTGTATTAAGATCGCCGTACTCAGCTGTTTTAGTGTTTGTAAGTTCAGTTATTTATTAGCTATTTTATTTATTTTGATATAAAAATATTTCGAATCTTTTACAAAGTATAGAACTACAAAAAAAAATTACATATGTCACTTATTAAGTAAATGCTTTCCCAAAAAGTGCACAACAACATTTTTTAGATTAGGAAAATAAAGTATGGTAAATAATATTTACTGTTAGGATACTTCATTTATTTGCTATTTTTGATAACGAAGTAATTAGAGATGTTCTTTGCCTTTCTGTTGCAAATTTCCATAAGTATATAATCCGGAGTATAGAATGTTTATATTTTTTTTCCACTTAAAATGGTAAACAAGCTGATGTACCACCTGATGGAAAATGGGTACCGTCGCCTATAGACAAACAGTACCATGGACATAACATAGAATACTGTGTCGCTCATGATACCCTTTATGCATTGTCATTCCTGAGGACTAAGGTACTATGCTTCTATATCTTGTAATTTAATTGTCATATCCCAACTTTCAAACCGAAACACAGACATGCAAACGCAACCACTTCAAAGGAACAACATGTATGAGACACAGACACCGAAGTAGACAACTTTTGTACAGTCTCCCTCCCTATTTTTACTACAACGATGAAGCTTGCACGATAAATTACACTCTTATTATCATTATAATCATTTTATATATAAAATTACGTACAAAAATTATTATTATGCAAAATGACTAAGTAGAAGTTAAGGTAAAACATCCGCAAAACAATCTCAACATTATGGAAATGAGAGTGGACTCTAAGAATTTTATAAAAACCACGTATCACATCAAAAAATCAGTGGGTAAGTGTTTGCTTATTAATTTTAATGATATGACCAAAATCTTGCTGAACATGCCTCTTAAGTGCCAAGTGTGCTTCTTAAAAAGGTTTATAGAGAGGGGTACAAAGTTCACTGCTCATGAAAATCATCCTGCAGACCCCACTTCAACTCGCACGAAAGATAAACGGGGAATGCTCTTGTTTGTTTTAAGCAAGGAAATTGCCCGTTCGGTTATGACTACAATAAACAGAAATAGTAGTAAAATATCGTAAGAAGTATGTTTTTGCACATAATTATAAAATATATAATTATTAGATTTTACCGCGACTTCGTTTGCGTGATAAGCGCACTGACCGGTATAAAAAGTAATTTATATCATTAATAGTACATTAATAAATATATAATTATAAATTTCATAGGATAATTATTACAAGCAATATCGGTTAAG